GAGCATCTGATCGAGAATACGGTGTTGCCGAGACATTCTTCGCACATTTCCAAAAACCGATGTTTTGCTGTCTCTGGGCGCTCCTTGCACCTGTTACATAAGTTGCTACCTGTGTATCCTTTCATCTCGTCGCATCGTCTTTGCCGCGTCCAATATCCATCTGTTGCAATATTGACCAGCAGGTCTGAGAAACGCACTCCATGAGGTAATTGGCTCACCTGTTTGATCAAAAGCCGAAGCGATCTGCTATCAATCCCATGCTCTGCGCCTCCTCCGCAATAATGATGCACAGCCTTCTCCCATACAACACACTCGGCTGATCTTCGAACATCTCGAAGTAGCTCGCGATGTGTGTCCAAGAACTTGTTGCTAGTGCAACTAGAATCTGGAAACTGCCATTCCTCTGAACCCGTCGGCGTGGCATAAGACCACGTGTCCACATCCTCAGGTCCCCAGTTGATACGGAGGAGCGCGAGGATGGTTGCAGACAATGGGCCTCGCACCGCACGAACCTGGTGTTGGGGATCCAGCTGACTCAAATGATCTCGAACCCTATGCCATACATGTCGAACACGTGGTCGCAGGTCGGGCCGTCGCTGCCACACACTGAGCCACATGTCCAAAGTCTTCACGGGCATCGCCACTGCAGGGTCCCCTCCTGGCGCTCTCAAGTCCAGTAGGGTTGTGGGGCAGCGACCTCGGGTCGCTGCCGCGCAGATCTGGCCAAGGCGCCGTCGGTGCGTGGTCAGCTGGCGGCCGAACATTCCATGCACCTGAAAGCCGCAGGAGCCTGCACGTTGACAGCCGTTGTGTTCGAGCCTCATCATCACGCCATACCTGCGGGTGGCCCTGCTGAATCTCTTCACTTTTTCATGCATCGTGCCGTGCTTGATCTGCCTCTGCGTCCTCGTCGCTCTGCCCGTTTTGCCGCAGCTGAAGTCCACCGCCAGGCAGGGGGCCTGGGTCATCGCTTCGACGGGGGAACCCTTCAGCTTGGCAGCACGAGCGACAGCGCGCGCGTCAGCAGCGCTGGTGCACATCATCACAGACTTCTTGGCCAGCCGCAGGCCAGCCTTGGCGAGCTCTTGGCCCGTCTTCACAACTCCACGTATCAGGTTTGACCGAACCGCTTGCCTCGATCCAGTAATCTTCTGACAAACATCGTCGATCCACGCCCGATGGTTCATCATCGGCGCCGCCGTGACCACTACCCGCATGATGAAGTGGGTGAGGATCTTGGCGAAGCGCGTCCCGCCTCTGAGCACCTGGATGACCGGCTGGCAGGGCTCGAAGGGGTTGCATACTGCACCCTCCTGCGACAACGTGCGCGCCGTGATACACTGGAGGAGTTCCAGGTACAGGGCGATGGGCGGGAAGTTGAGCCTGAGCGCAGCCTTCGCCAGAGGAAGCCAAGGTATGGAATCACACAATTCCTGAATCTCCAGTAATCCTTGGCCAAACTCCATCCGCATCCAGTGCGCTAATTCTTCATATATGGCGTGGAGATGCGCTTCACGCAGGCAGCTGTTCCCAGCAACTGCGGCATCCCATGCCTGTTCTTCATATGTGCCCCACTGTTTCACTATAGGTTCGCGTACATGTTACCAGAGGCGGCCCACCATATATATCAGACCTACGCCACGGTCGCCTTGGGATTTCTTGGATGTCAAGAACGTCACTATGAGCTGGGTCTGGGCAGGCCGAGCCAACAGAGCCCCCGCGCTCCCCAGGATGTCGGTGAAATCAATCATAGCTCCCAGAGGCAACCTCTGAAAGTCGACGGGGCTCAAGACATCCACCCCCAGCCCTGCCTTGGCCTTGATGGCCTTGGCGCTGGCGTAGACCAGGTCTGGGGTCAGCTCGGGGAGGGCCTCGCATTGGGCTGCTTCACGAACGATCCGAAACAATTCTCCAATCTCTCCTGCATCAGGTGGCCGAGGGGCCCACAGCTTCTTAAAGGTTACCGCTTTATGCCCCATGAGGTCCGCAGTGTGCACTAGAGTGTGGTCGCCCACCTCCAGTTCACTCGGCGGTACTGGGTTGGCCTTCAGCGACTTGTGGAGGATGCCCACAGCCTCTGGTTGCACTACAAACGTCTTAAAACTTACAATCGATTCATGCACAGCCGCACGCTACGCACGACCTGCCACTCGTTTCGCCGCAAGCACGTAGTTCTCCAGAACTGGGGCCGCCAGCCGTGTCGGGTCACCAAGCACCGGTAACCATTGGTCCCACGGGGCCTCTCGGCCCGCGTTCAAGAGTCTGTGGGCCCCCTCGGGACGTGCATTCCGAAGGGCTGTGCTAGCCTTGCTGTGCTCCTGCTGCTGGCGGTCGCCGTTGTCCCTGCACATGTGCCGATGCACGCCAGCCAGACCGTGTGGACTCGGGTCCACCATTGACTTCGTTGATCCTGAAAGGCCACTTCTCGCACATGAGCTGTGACCCTCAAGGGCTTCTCCGTGATCCTGGGACCCGCGGCGCGCGAGGTGCCAGAAGAAGGCCTGACATGATGACGTGTATGCAAAGCCCTCTCAACCGCTGTCACCCAGGTCGCGCACTGCCCCGCGATGGGCGCGCTGCGAGCAGGTTCGAGCGAAAAGGCTACGGAGGGCGAAAGAATGGGGGGAAGACATGCCACTGCACCAGCTCCCGACTTAAATCCAACCTGCCTTCGGGCCTCTGCCCAAGTGGACGCAGGGATCTGAAACGGAGGGTCGGGCACATCTTCGACCACAGGCACCGGGGGGGCATCCTGCTGGAAATTCGGAGGGGTTCTAGGCGAATTACCTCCGACTTCGGGAAGCGAAAACTCGGGTACTTCAACGCTGCTGCTATCAACGGGGTTACTTGGAACCGCCGTGGGAAGGGGACGGGGTTGGGCCTCGCATGCCTTCGAATTGACAGTCACACTATTCGAGACGAGCTTTTCCTCAGCTGCAGCCGATGTGCCGCCCGCGCCCGATCTGACTAAGGCCTGCTCGCGACCTAAACAAGAGTCTGCACAAAAATTCAGCTCCTGAGCCCAGGGGTCCTCCTCCTCAGGGAAGTCGAAAAGCGCCTGGTCCAGGTCGGCCTCCGACGCCGCTTGGGACAGCTGTCCCGAGCGGCACAGGGGGGGCCCAACACATCTCCGAAAGCCCCCTGAAAACCATCGACCCTCTTAGTATGAGCCACCTGGCACTTAACAGCCGCAGCGGACCTGGCCTGGCTGGACTTCGATCCAGGGGCGGGCTCACACTTGGGCCGAGGGAGTTGGGGCAGCTTCGGGGGAAGAGACAACTCACGAGTCCTAAGGGTCTGGCCAGACGCTCTCAGAGACAGAGTGATCCCAAGGTGCGGTTTCCATGGAACGCTTCTGACAGCCTCAACTTCCTTTGCGAACGAGGAGGCAGCTACACTGATATACACAAAAACGACCATTGTATCGGGGTCCTTTTTCTGGGCGCAAGTGCCCTCCACTCCAGCTGGCGCGCGCGCTAGGCCGCCCAGCATCCTGTGGAAGGTCGTGCGCTGGAGCTCGTCTGGCGTCGTGTTGAAATCGCCAATGATCAGCCATGGCACACGAAGTGATCGGAGAAGCCCCCCGAGCCTGTTGAAGCGCTCGATGCCCCCCCCCCCCCCCCCGTCATCTTGATAGGCGGCGGCGCATGCAGGGCCACGACGACTATCGCTTAGCTGCGCTGCTGCAAGATCATAAGGCAAAATCCATCGCACGCCGACTGCTTCGGCGCCTTCAAGTGCTTGGCCGCAGCTCGCGCTTCTGGCAGCTGCTGCATCTGCAAGTGCTTGCGGGAGGAGAAAGCCTCACCGCCCTCATTGGAGTGCGCCTCCATGGCGCTGGACACTACCTTGGAGGGTCGGCGAGCCGAATTCATTGTCATGCGAAGATTAAGGTCACGAGCCGCTTTGTTCCACTTCTTGATATCAGACTCCTTATGGATATGAGCCTCCGTCAGGATCCAGTGGTCATAAGCCCCCACGTGACTCCGCGCATACTTCCACCCCTTCGCAGTCAAGCAGGTCCGAGGGGTCCCCGCTGGACACCGTCAAGCTGCGTCAGCGGCCGGGGCTGCCTCGCCACCGGCAACTCCCTTGCCAGTCGCCTTCGCCGCCTCCTGCTGCGCCAAGAACTTTGCCGCCGACAGCCGCTCAGCTTCAGCCTGCACTGAAACCGATGGGGAGGCCGCCTTCGCCTCGCCGCCGCCGCCCGAGGAGACCCCCCCCCGCCCCGCCGAAGCCGTCGTCGGTTTGGTCCCCCCGCCGCCGCCGCCCGCCGAAACGCCCGCCGAAACCTCCGCCGCCAGCCTCTTGTCCATCAGCGCGCCTCTTCTTCCGTGCACGCTCCTCGATGGTGCGCCTGTGCTGCTGCATCGTCTCTAACCAGGCCTGGATATCCGCCTCCTTGCCCGTCAGAGTCTCCTTGGCCCCTTGGAGCTGGGTGCGGAGCTCCTCCGATACTTTGTTTCTCCTCCTTCGTGGCGTCTAGGGACTCCAGGTTCGCGAAGAAGGACTCGTCCTTCTCAAGCTTGATGATCTTCCGCTCGGAATCGAAGGCGACCTTGCCATCCGTGACCCTCTCCGCCTTCGCCAAGGCGGTGGCCGCGGCCTTCTTGGCCTCCGTCATCTCGGCGAGGTGAAGTGCTGCTGATTTCTCTTTCGCCTCCGCAGCCGCCAAGTTACTGCGGAGGCGAATGACATTCTTCACTGCCTGGCTGTGAAGATGGCATGCGTTTCTCCACGCCCCGTCGGCCCTGCGAAGGGCCTCAGCTGGGGTGATATTCTCCGCGTCGCGCTCGTTCTCCTCCTTCGTAAGCTTGTCGAGCTGCGCCTGCAGGTCAGTCTTGAGCTTGGCGTCGGTGGTCGCCGCAAGGGCTATCCTGAGCAGGTCCTTCACCGAGCTGCCCCCCGTGCTGCCCTTGCCGCCACCGAGCCCGCCACCAGCGCCGCCCTTCAGGATGCCTGGGGGGGGCGCGGCTGGGGGCGCTCATTCGCACTGCCACTCGTCGCGTCGTAGAAGCCCTCGGCGTCACTGTCGTTGCACTGGTCATCTGAGAACTGCACTCGCCGCGGCTTGCGCCGCTGGAAGGGCTTGACCTCCACGCCGCAGCTCTTGCAGAGATTGTGGCGGCGAGCAAGCACTGCTTTCCATTCGCATGTCTGGCACTGCGTGCACCTGGTCCATAGCTTGTGAACCCCAACCATGGCTGCTGTCCCTGTGTTAGTCAGTGTCGATTATGTGTTGGCTGCTGAGAAGAGACACTGCCCCTCAAGCGCTACTTGGGCGCCCAGGGACGAGCTCGGAAGGGCGGGTGGTGGCCTCCTGGGCCCCCCCCCTCGCCTGCTCGAGCCCAAGTTGCTTGAGGGAGGAGGAGGAGGAGGAGGAGGAGGAGGAGGAGGAGGAGGAGGAGGAGCAGCAGAAGGAGGAGGTAGGAGGAGGAGGAAAAACAAATCCCAACTCATCACCCAACACCCCCCCCAACCCCCCCCCACCTTACACCCTCCCCCCACCCCCCCCCCCCCACCCCCACCCCACCCCTCGCCCCCCCCCACGCACGCACACCCACACGCACGCGCACACACGCACGCGCCCGCACACGCAACACACACACACACACACGCGCACACGCACACGCACACACACACACACACACGCACACACACACACACGCCCAGCACACACACACGCCACAACACACACACACACACACACACACGGCCCACCACCGCCCCCACCCACACACCCACCCCACCCACCACGCCACCCACACACACACACACACACGCACACGACACGCACACATCACGACACACACGCCGAGAGACACGCACACACGCACACACGCACACACGCACACACGCACACACGCACACACGCACACACGCACACACGCACACACTCACACACGCACACACGCACACACGCACACACGCACACAAGCACACACGCACACACGCACACACGCACACACGCACACACGCACACACGCGCACACGCGCACACGCGCACACGCGCACACGCGCACACGCGCACACGCGCACACGCGCACACGCGCACACGCGCACACGCGCACACGCGCACACGTGCACACGCGCACACGCGCACACGCGCACACGCGCACACGCGCACACGCGCACACGCGCACACGCGCACACGCGCACACGCGCTCACGCGCACACGCGCACACGCGCACACGCGCACACGCGCACACGCGCACACGCGCACACGCGCACACGCGCACACGCGCACACGCGCACGCGCACGCGCACGCGCACGCGCACACGCGCACACGCGCACACGCGCACACGCGCACACGCGCACGCGCGCACACGCGCACACGCGCACACGCGCGCACGCACACGCACACGCACGCGCACACGCACACGCACACGCACACGCACACGCACACGCACACGCACACGCACACGCGCACACGCGCACGCGCGCACACGCGCACACGCGCACACGCGCACACGCGCACACGCGCACACGCGCGCACACGCACACGCACACGCACACGCACACGCACACACGCACACACGCACACACGCACACACGCACACACACACACACACCACCCCACACGCACACACACGCGCACAATTCAGCGGAAGGTCGGATCGGATTAAGAGGAGGAGGAGGAGCAGGAGGAGGAGAAGGCAGATCAGGATGAGGAGGAGGAGGTCGAGAGGAGGAAACGGAGGAGGAGCAGGAAGAGGAGGAGGATGAGAATGAGGAGGAGGAGAGAATAAGGAGGAGCAGAAGGGGGGGGGAAGAGGAGGAGGAGGAGGGAGAGGAGAGGAGGAGGAGGAGGAGGAGGAGGAGGATGCGTAGGTGGACGCGGAGGTGGGGGCGCAGGTGGAGGAGGAAGAGGAGAAGCTAAGATGAGGAGGACGAGACCAAGGCCAATGGTCGATGTTTTTTTGTTCTGCCTCTGGAGGCCTCCGCGCGATTTCGGCCCCTGGGGGGGTTCGGCCTCTGGGTCCTGGAGTTTCGGCCCAGGGCCTCCGCGGATTTGGTCCGACCGCCGTCGGGCCGTCGTCAAGCCGCCGCCCCGCCGTCAGGCAGCCGCCCCTCTTCTGACTTCTTCCTCCTCCATCTCCTCATCCTCCTCCCCCTCCTCCTCCTCCTCCTCCTTCTCCTCCTCCCCCTGCTCTGATCCTGCTCCTCCTCTTATTCCTCCTCCTCCTCCTCCTCCTCCTCCTCCCTTTCTTCCCCTTCCCCTGTCCTGCCGATCGCTGACCCGAGCCGCTGCGGGGGGGGAAGCGCGTCGCCGTCGCCGCCGACGACGCCTTTCTGGCATTTACGGCCCACAAGCACGAACAACTTCAGGGGTCCTGGGCCTAAAACCCGTGCCCAATCACGTCGTCGTCGTCGTCGTCGTCGTCGTCGGCCCCAGCCGCGTCGTCGTCGCGAGACTTCCCCCTCGTCATCCCCCCTCCTTCCCCCCTTCCCCCTGCTCATCCTTTTTCCTTTTCAGCTTCACCCCTCCCCCCCCCTCCTCGGCCGTGCCATCCTCCTCCACCGCCTCTGTCTCCTCCTCCTCCTCCTCCTCATCCTTCTCTTGCCCCCTCCACATCCTCCTCCTTTTCTCCGTGCCCTCGGCATTGATATATTTCAATGAATAGAGTGCGTGGCCGAATGCCCCGTGCATTCGGCGGAGCACCGATCGGGCTCGCAGAAGTGCGCGCGGTGTTGGCGCATGCGGGCACCATATTCACTCACGCATGTTGCAAAACAAATATAGTAATGTGTTTCTTCTTTCATCCTCCCCCTCCTCCTCCTCCTTCGCCATCGCGGCTGCGCCGAGGGCGCAACCTATGGAGCAATCGATGAGAATCGCCTCCGCCGCCGGGAACGCTATTCAGCCCGATGGGGGGGTATTCTCTCCTCCTCCTCCTCCTCCTCCCCGTCCTCCTCCTCCTCCTCCTCCTCCTCCTCCTGCTCCTACTCCTCCTCTCCAACCTGCCGCTTTTTATATAGCAGCGTTGGCTCATATGGCGGGCCGCCCCCGCCCGCCTGCCATCCTGGCTACACCGACGGGGGGCGCCATGGCCAGGGCAGCCAGGGCGTCGGGGTGCTAGTCAGCCTGGAGCTGGGGTACTACACCACGGCAGTGCGTGTCCACGCGGCGCCAGAAGTCGTTTCGACTCCGCACCGTCGACCGATCGGGGGCCGCTGCCGTGGTTTGCCCCTTTCTCCATCGAGCTGCCCCAGGTGCACCTTATCCCGCGCCTCTGGCACTTCCCCTCGCGGGGGGTCGTGCCAGGGGCGGGGGTCGCCCCCGTCTGGGGATGGCCGCGGCGCCGCCCGCGGGACGAGGCGATGTGCCGGGCGACGCCGCAGGGGGAGCTCAGCGCCCACGGTTTTGAAAGTGCTCAACATAAAGTGGGGCCGCGAAGGCCCCACCTTCCATTTCAAAATCCGTTGCCCACCAAATGCCCCTGGTACTCGGCGCGGGCGCGCGGGCGCCCGAGGGCGTGCTGCCGCCCGCTGGCCGTTAACCAGGACCAGCGCACCGCTTTTGATGCCGCCCTCCTCCTCCTCCACCTCCTCCTCCTCCTCCTCTTCCTTCTCCTCCTCCCTCTCCTTGATCATCTTCCTCCTCCTCCTGCTGCTGCTGCTGCTCCTCCTCCTCCTCCGCCGCCCGCGTAGCCATTTTGGCTTATGCTGGTTTGCTCAAGCCGCTTTGGCTGTGTAAGCTGGCTTTGCATTGGAAATCGCATTACATTGTGGAGCGAAACGATCGCTGTTGTGGTATATTTCATCTATGTGATAGTGGCATGGTCGTGGTAACGGAGCCAGTTGGACGTTGTGTTTTCATATGTGGTGGAGCCGCATTGACGCTGTTATGGTGTGTTCTCATAGGTGGCGCTGGTGTGCTAGTGGTAGCGGAGCTACTGGTATGCCGCATGTATATTTCGATGTGACAATGTGGAAAATCATATTATATATGTATATATGTATATATATATACATATATTTTTATATATATGTATGGCACAATCTACGTGTTATATATATATATATTATATATATTTTTATATATATATATATATATTATATGCGTGTGAGAGACAACGCCGAGGGTCCACATTTCGCCCCGGATCCGGAAAAGCAGAAAGTGGATCCGCGGATCCGCATTCGAGACAAAATAAGCCGGATCCGGATTCTGGATCCTGGGCACCTCTGGGGAATGGGCTATTGCTGATGGCGTGCTTTCGGGCCTTCACTCGGCGCGAAGACGGAGAGGGCGGGGCGCCGCGCCTGCGCGACCTATGCGGCGCGCACGGGTCGTGGGCAGAAGCGGCCGTGGAGTGGCTCAAGGGGGGCATGCCGCGTGGGGAAACGAAGAGGTACGTCCAGAACTACATGGGCGCGGTGGACATGCGACCAGTCGCTGATGAAGATCTCGTCAAGCGCGAAGACGAGCTTTATAGCGACGAAGAGTTGGGCCCGCGGGCGGCGGAGGCGGCCGCGCTGCTGAAGACGCGCGTCGGGGGCGCGCCCATGGAGAGGGGGGGCCGCCGGTGAATGCATGCGTGGAGGGCGAAAGAGAAACAATGCAAGGGGGCAATGACAAGGGGCGACGCCGCGTGGGGCGACAGCATGAGTAAGAAAGGCGAGAAGCGACGGAAGCGCGCAGGAGATGGCGCACTAGCGCGGGGCGACGATGAAGTGAAGCAGGCGCAGGCAGCGGCAGCCGCGTCGAGAGCTCAGGAAGGGGAAGGCGGATCGGAAGAGGGCAGGGCCCCAGAGGTCGCTGCGGGAAAGAAGGCGACGGCGTCGAGCGTGCGCAGGTGGAAACGCCAGCTCGCTGCTGGTGGGCTCAATGCGGGTCAACGGAGTATTGTTGAGAAAGTGGCCGATCGGGTTCTGGCGCAGGAGTTCTCGCTCCCGGCGCGGGGGCAGAAGGTGGCCGAGAAAGGTGCGGGAATGGGGCCTCTGTTGCGGGTTCTGCGCGGTGGCCCAGGGACGGGGAAGAGCTTCGTAATTGGCAAGATCCGGAGGGGGCTGTTCGAGAAGGAGATGGGGCGGGCGCGCGGCATTGACTTCCAGGTAGCAGTTTTGCAGGCCACCAATGCGTCAACGCTGGGCGGGAACACCACTCGCAGTGAATTTGGACTGGGCGTGAATAAGACGAAGGGGCCCGTCGCAGACGGTGAGAAGGACGCCGAGGCGAAGAGGAAGACGAAGAAGGAGG